CCGCCCGGCGAGCGCCGCAGCCCGCGGCTCCGAGCCGGCATGGACCTGGAGGAGGAGGACGACGAGCTGGAGCGGAGCCGCGAGGGCCTCCTGGGGCAGGTGACCGCCCGCCGCGCGCCCTCTATTGGCCCGGGGCGGGGCTGCCGCACTGCCGCCGGGGCGGGGAGAAGGGTCCGGGGACAGCGTGGCTCCGGGCCCCCCTCCCCGGACACATGAGCCCGCTACAGGGCAAGGATAACGCAGGGGGAGTCGCTGCGTGAGCCGGCATGGCACGAGCGAGACGCAGGTCTTTGTTTTTGTTCAGCCCAGGGGAGGCCTCAGCTGGAGTGCGGGGCTTTGGGGGTGCGAGGAGGGTGTCGACAGGTGGGAGACGGCGCCGGGGTAGAGATCACCGGGGAGAGCGCGGCCCCAGGTAGCAGAGGGACTGGAGGGCAGCACGAATGAGGGCCGGCTTGGGAAACCGGCCCGCGAGGTCGGCCAGGGTCACCGTCTTGCAAGGCATAAGAGAGGGTTGTAAAGGAGGCAGGAACCGGCTGTTCACCCTGTGCATGGAGGGGAGGAGAAATGAAGCAGGCTTGCTCTGCAGAGAAATTCAGGCCAGATACTAGGCAGGTCATATGGGGTAGCGACCTGCTGCCACAGGCCATCGGGAATCTTGGCCGGCGGTTTCTAAATGCAGGTTGGACAAGCGTTTGTCAGGGATGCTCTAGGTTTACATGACCCTGCCCTGTGCTAAGTAGGGGGTGGGTTGGAGGCTCCTTCCACACCTCTATTTCTCTGAGGTCATGGAAAAATCATTGTGCTGTGGCCACATGTTTTTGGTATCAAATGTTGTGTCAAGGGCGGGTAGTGGGAGCATGCTGTATCAACTCAAATCATCTTTGGATAGGGGGAGAAAAGACAAATCCCTTTGCTTCTGGACATACAAAAATGAGCTTTCTGCTTCTAGTGCCATCTCAGCAAGAAAAGCACCTGCCTCCTCCACCAAAAACTGAATCAGACACTGCCCCTGTGTAGCAGAATGCAGACATCCCATGATACCAACCTCCAAAGCATATGAAGTGGTCCTTTCAACAATAAATACTAATCAAGACACAGGATTGAAGTTGAAAAAGAGAATATAGCAGTAATGCCCGGGGGGGTACCAATTTTTAAAAGATCAAAATGAACTCGTGCCTCGCCACATTAAAAAGGTAAAATGAAGGCAAACCCTCACCAAACAAATCACTGATCAAACAGGACAACACAAAATATAGTGAAAACCTACAGCTGTATAAGGGGAGAGTGAAGCAGAGAAGCGATCTGATTCAATGTCTGACCTATGAAGGAGTATGGGAAAGACTCCCTCAAATTAAAGAGGAGAAAAAAAATACACATAATAAAAAGGAAGAGATGGCAGAAAGAGCATCCAGTGACATTTCAGTGGGCTTGAGTTCAAACCTCAGGGCTATAAAGAAGCCCTGTTCAAGGTAGATGTTTTATGTTGGGCAAATATTGTTAGCTTTACATTTGGGTGACACTTGTACAATGCATTTGTCATGTGTCTAAAAAAGATTGACTTGACTTGGTGATAGCTGTCAAGTCTGTGCAGTGATATTTATAGAAAATTGCAATGAGTTTTTAGAAAAATACATATAAAATACCAAAGCACTGACATTTCCAGGACTGTTACCCAAAACCAGCTCTGAAGGAACTCTGTTACCTGCCATTTTTTATTTTTAAACTACTGTGTACAGTAATATTTTAGGCAGCAGAGGGCGCCTTAAAGTTTAAAATGTTAGTTCAGAGATGATACCTTTTGTTAGATCAGCTAAGAAGTTGCAAAACCATAAAAAGGTATCATTTTAGAACCAAGAGTTCTAGAGTTTTGCATTTCTTTTTGTCTCAGACCAACACGGCACCAAATACATCCCTGACATCTGTTAGTGTCATTTATCTAATCTTTTGGAACTTACCATTTTAGAGCCAGCATTGTGGCCTTTTCATCTTACCATTCAAGTCCTGTCAAATAGAGTGTAGCTTTGGGTCAAGTTCCTACTGAATCATTTTAATGAAAGCAAGAAAATAATCTACGTTTTTCCCCCTTTTAATACTTTTATGTTTGGGGGGGTTTACAGGTTCAAAGCAGGGTGCTGATTCTAACAGTATGTGCTGCTGGGATCGGAGGGACATTCCAGTATGGCTATAACATCTCCATCATCAATGCTCCGACTACAGTAAGTTTTCTGCTGGCCTCTAACCTTCTCCGGAGATAGTGAATCTTATGACGCCCCAAACTTGTAATCCCTAACAGAGGTTCAGTGACCTCCAGTATGAGCATAAACCAGGATATGTTGTGAAAAACCTTCAGTCAGCTAATACTGAGGCTGAATAGTGAGGAATGGATGTGTGTGTTTTTATAATTGGTAATTGAGGCGTGGCATCATGCTATTGCTAAAGGGCTTGAGGACACAAGATTTGTCATTCAAAACCTTTTTCTGCCAGTTATACCTTTAACAAATATAATCATGAATATTTCCACACTTAAAAGACCTTTCTTTTAAATAAAGCGGCCACATTTTTCTTAATTATTTTTCAAAAGACTTTGCAAAACCTGATTAATTGCTGTAATTGGTGATGACCCGTTTTCCCATTGGCCAGGTTCTCTGGGGCTCTCTAGTAGCTGTTCTAGGTGTCCTCATGGAGCTGGAATAACCTGGTGTGATTCTGAGGCACCTGGCAGAGAAAAAAAAGCATTAAAATGATTTATATACTCAGCATCTTGTTAAAATTGGCTCATGGGAGCATTCAGCATCCAAGTGCTGTACACTTTAAAAATCAAGCTTTGCCTCTGATTTTAGGATCAAATTTAAAATTAGAGGTTAGAACCTGAAGACTCTACATATTTTTTAAAACACACAAGATTTCAGTGCATAAACATACTCTCTCTAATACAGCTTCTCAACAACTAGAATTCTACTTGAGTAGCAAAATGATATCTTAAAACTAAATGCTTTTTTTTCAGCCTTCTCTTTAGGGTCCTGTTAGGACCATAGGCCCTAACTAAGAAGAGGAAAACCCTTGGTCTTTTTTGCATTCTTCATCTTTAACCCCTCAGTAAACCAACCTTGTTCTTTACTTACAGTACATTCAGACGTTTATGAATGAAACATGGTTGGAACGCACAGGTGCACCCCTTGAGAACAACGTGATATTGCTTTTGTGGTCTTTTATTGTCTCTGTGTACCCTTTGGGGGGGCTCACTGGAGCTCTTGTTGCAGGACCTATGGCAATCAAGCTGGGAAGGTAAGAGGGCTTTGTATCTCCAACATGAGCTTTTTAGAGTGGATTTCATTAATCTGATGACTAGCATGTTTGAGTGTGAAACTAATAAGAGTCCAAATCCCAGTTACCCAATGTGACTGAAAATCACAGAGGATGCTTGTAATCAAAAGACAACAAATTGATCTCTCATTGCCACGAGGCCAGAGGGCCCATGCCTTGAAATGGTAACCAGACGCTTCTCAAAATCCAACCTAGAATGGTACTTTCTACCAATGGAAAAATAGTCAGAGATGGCTCTCAACTCAGTTGGCAATAGGAATCACTATTATCAATGTGATGGGGGCCCTCCTACCTCCCTAAATGTGGCCGTGCCATTGTGGCGATGTGGGAGCTCCCCAACCAGCCACAATGCTGGTCTCCCACTGCCTCTGGGTATGCCTCCCACCTATCTTGTCTGCCATGCCTTGCTGTTGAGTAATTAAGATCTTAATTAGGCAGGTGGCTGCCCTTTCTGGGTCCTGGTGTCTCCCTAGAGCACATGCTTCTACCTCCCCTTATGCATCCCATGCCTCGCAGATGTTTCTAACAGCTGTGTAAAGCTCCGGCCTGAGGCCGGGCCCAACTCATTACAGTATTAGGCCTCTCACAACCTGCCTGTTACAGGCCACACTCATACACCTCTGTCTCACTGAGGCTTCACACTCCACTGTCTCTCACATGGTCTCTTCTCTCATACTGCCCTTGCTGGGCCTCACTTGTACCGCCCCTCCTTTTCCCCAGGGCCACACTCACCCTGCCATATCCCAAAAGGTCCTTGGGCTTGGTTCCCCTCACTCCCAGGCCAGCAAGCATACAGCCTTTCAGGCATCTCCCGCTGCCCTCATCCAAATGAGCGCCAGGCGGTTCGCAAAATAGGGACAGAGTCTGTGCAGTGTCTTGTAGCTGGATAACATCCCCCAGGTGTTCTTCATACGGGGCTGCTGACTTGCCCCCTTATTTCTCCGCAGCTTCTCTGCCGCCCTCCAATCGACCTCAGGTCCACCTGTGGACTCAGGTGCCTGAAGGCTTACCTGGACCAAATTCAGTCCCTCAAGTTAACCAGTCCTCAACACAGGCCCCCTGCTCACAGGGCCTCATTTGGTTCAATCACTCAGATGCAGCCCTTCAGGTGCCTCTCTGCACCCAACTCTGCACCGTCGCCTCCCCTGAGGCACATAGATTCATAGATGCTAGGGTCGGAAGAGACCTTAACAGATCATCAAGTCTGACCCCTTGCCTAGGCTTTTCTAACCTGTCCAGGTCTGCTTGCAATCATTCCCTAACGTCTGGAGTGTGCACTTCACCCCACAATTTAGTATTGTCTGCAAACTTGGACAGAGTACAATTCACACCCACATCCACGTCACTGATGAAGATATTGAAGAGTACGGGTCCAAGGACTGAACACTGCGGGACCCCACTACCCACCTCCTTCCAGGTTGATACCAACCCGTCTACTACCACTCTCTGGGTGCGACCACTAAGCCAATTTGCCACCCACCGGACCATGTAAACATCTATGTCACAGCCTCTTAATTTATTTATGAGAATAGGATGAGATACCATATCGAAGGCCTTACTAAAGTCTGAGAAAATGACATCCACCTCTACTCCTAAGCATTTTGTGACCCTGCCATAAAATGAAACCAGATTGGTCAGGCATGATCTACCTGCTACAAATCCATGCTGGTTTCCCTACTGCATTATTTTTCCTGCTGGACTCCCACAAATATGATCCTTCATAATCTTTTCAAAGACCTTTCCAAGGATGGAGGTGAGACAACTGGCCTATAATTACTCAGATCCTCCTTCCTCCCCTTCTTGAAAATAGGGGTCGAACACCCCCACAGGCTCAGGGACCCTTGCTCAGCATGCCTGGCCCACAGCTCCCCTTCTCTCCCCAGGGTCTTACACCTCCCTGGGCTCAGGTGGCTGCAGCCATGCCTGGCCCCACTACCCACTCTGCAGTGTTGCACCACACCAGGCTCAGGTCCCCCCACATGGGCATGCCTGGCTCTAACTCCCTCTGATGTTGCATTACCCGCCCTAAAGCGGGTGCTGGGGTTATTAAGGCGCCCCTCCTCACCTTTCACTGAGGCAGTAACTAGTTTGGCATTTCTTGA